AATCTTGACCTCTTTCCCCTGCACATCAGATGTAGAGAAGCGGCCTGAGGGGGACTGGGTTGTGGGACCAGGACCAGGACTGGCAGAGAGGGAGCAGACCCCACTTTGTTGAGTCAGAACCCAGACTTGCCACCTAATTTCAGCTAATTTCCTCTCCTGGAAAACCTTTAAGAGACAATAGAGAAGGGATGCACTGCTATAGGAGGCTTCAGGTGGGCCCTCTAACCTGAACTGGAGCAATTTTTTCTGTAGTTAAGTAGAATAGAGCCTTGAGCTTAGGTGTGACCATAAGTACTGGGTCTGTGCAGGGCATGGGGTTTTACATCGATCATTTCACTCTTGTGCCCCTTCCGGCCTTTCTTTCTTTCTCCTTTTTTAAAAAGCTTAATTTATTTTAATCCTCACCTGAGGATATTTTTTCCATTGCTTTTCAGAGAGAATGGGAGGGAAAGAGGGAGAGAGAAACATGGATGTGAGAGCCACATCAATTGGTTGCCTCCTGCACGCGCCCCAACCAGGGCCAGATCCGAGCCTGCAACTAAGGTACCTGCCCTTGGCCGCAATCGAACCCAGAACCCTTCAGTCCATGGGCCGAGGCTCTAATCGCTGAGCTAAACCAGTGCTCCTTTCAGTCTTTCTTTCTCTTTTTCTTCTCTATTTGCTGTTTCCTCTGCTTTCAATGCTTTTCCCTCCATTTATCCCATAAATTATTCTAGTTCATGATTCAGTTTTCTGCTCATGTCACGTTTTCAGAGAGGCCTCCCTTACGCACACAGTCATATCACACTCTTCCATTTCCTTCATAATCTTTATCGCTATTTCAAATCATCATCTTAAAGTGCCCCCCGCCAGCTTTCTTCATTCACTCTGGAATGTACCTTAATCACCGCTGTGTCTGTCTCTAGTGTCTGATCTAGGGACTGATCACAGGTGCTCATCAGTACTTGTAGGATATGTGAACAAATCCTCTGCCATGCTCATCTTTGCTGGACTTTGCCAAGCCCTCATCCCAGAAAAACAATGATCATGCTCCCATTCCGTGCCAGGCTCCCCGCTGCTTATTCCCTCTTCCCTCTTCCTCCCCACCCCTTTACCCCCAGGATTTTTCTTGAAGCTCCCGCCTCTCAGACTCCATGGGAGCTGCTGGAACCAGAATGTCTCCCTAGGATTATTTTCAATGGTTCCTGGGGTGTTCACCTGGGTAAGAATCAGGAAAGAGAAGACATGCTAATCCTATTTATCTAAAACTGTATAATCTTACCCAATCACTTAAATGGTGCCTGTGTCTCTAATTACAGAGCAGGCTGGGAGGAACACAGGCACAATTTCTAGCCAACCTCAGGCAGAGGGGCACTTTTGTTCCTCCTAGGGGCCGGCAGGGACTCCAGCCCAGGAGCCAGGAATCCAGACACCTGCTGGCACAAGCTCACCCACCAGACTGGCTTGTTCACAGACCAGTCCTCCTGTCCCTGAAGAGGGTTTGAATGCCCCCCACCCTATTTACCAGATGTGACACATTTGAAAAAAACACCCGTGATCTCAGCACCCCAATTCTACCTCCCACTGCTTTGAGTGTTAACTGATTTCTCTGGGGCTCAGCCTAGCTTCTCAGGGAGAGTTGTATTGCTGGTGAACTGACCCGCATAGCATGGGCTCTTTTCCCAGCTTCTCAGGAACAAACCCTCCAGGAGGCCTGAGAGCTAACAGTCATATGACAGCCTGGAGGGTCAGAGCTTCATTCTCCAGAACTGTGTCAACTGGGTCATGAGATGGGGGGAGAGCCAAACGCCTGCCTGCTGCCCCAGGCAAGCAAACAGCTGCTACCTCAGCCTCAGTGTGTGCTTTTCTCCCGCCCAGGCACTGAGAGAGCCATTTCAGTGACATCCCTGGCTTAGCTGCAATGACATCTCTGCTTCTTAAAGACCTTTTGGTTCCTGAACTAATTAAAAGCCCCAGACAGCAAGGACACACTTAATCCTATTAATGACTTCTGACCAGGAACCCGTGGCCCAGCCCTCTGAGGGAGTGCCTTTCTGAACCACCTCCATTTGTTCAGGTGCCTGCTGATTGTTTATCAGCCCTTTCAAGAGATTAAGCTGTACTCTGGATCAGGCCACTAAGGTAATGGATCCAGGGGGCCGGGAGTGTCCCATGACCAAGGAGCTTGCAGCCAGCCAGCGTCTTGGTCCATCTAGACTCCATGGCCACTGTTCAGACTCTTGCTCTTCAGAACCATTAAGGGAACTTGGTGATTGATGACAAGAGGGGTCCTTGCCTCATCTCTGCTGTTCACCTGGTCCTTTCACACACAGGAAGGACAGATACAGTCCTTGCCCTGAGGGATGTCAGAGGCCAGTTAGGATCATAGACACAGAACAATGGCAATAGCACATTAAACTCACCCCAATGGAGATGAGCATACAGTGTCCTGTGAGTGTATAGTGCTGGTAAATGCTTCAGCCTAGGGGTCAAAGAAGGCTCCCTGAAGGGGGAAACATGAAAAATCTCCCCATTAAGACAGAGATCTGGTACAGCTGGCGCGGCTCAGTGGTTGAGCATCGACCCATGAATCAGGAAGTCATGGTTTGATTCCTGGTCAGGGTGCATGCTCAGGATCTGGGCTCCATCCCCAGTTGGGGACGTGCAGGAGGCAGCCAGTCAATGACTCCCTCTCATCATTGATGTTTCTCTCTCTCTCCCTCTCCCTTCCTCTCTCTGAAATCAATCAAAAAAATTTTTTGAGAAGAAAGGAAGGAAGGAAGGAAGGAAGGAAGG